AAACGACAATTGGACAAGTACAATTCGATCTCTGGCGGTTCGACTGTACTACTGATGAAACCTGTGGATATTCTGCTGAGTATGCTGGTCGCTGTCGCTGTCCTGTGGTTTGCATCGGAACCCAGTGTTCGCCATAGAAACTGGAGCAAATACGTCGTTCTAGCAGCAATTACCGTCGCGGGTTATCTCCTGAATACCGGGTTGAGCGTGCTCAACATGCAAGTGACCCCGGGGCAAATTCACCCGACAATCCTTGCGTCCGACCTCATAGTGGAAAGTGATCATGAAATTTCGCAACCGCTGGACGCCAATGGTTTACTGACAGCGACATTCGATTCGAAGTATCGAGAGAATACACCTGGAAACAGTGTGCTCAATACCATTATGCGCACATTGTTGATGCCAGCGGAAGAAGTTCCGACGTGGTGTAATCGAACTGACGACTACCAGTATCCGTTCAAGAATGTCGTTGCTAACTACAGTTTTCTTTCTTGAATATGGCAACAACGTGCCCTCTCAAGTGCATTAGAACCCACAGCTAAACTGTCGGTTCCTACGAATGCTGAGTCATCCGAGCTCCCATCCGATGAAAAACTTCGTAAAACCTTTTTTTTGGGTCAAATTTGGTGCAGGTCAAATCCTGCGCAACTCGCTTTTTTTGGGTCAAATTTGGATCAATTTGACCATCCGCTTGACCCAAGAAGCGATAAATTTGTTTTATAGTTATTATAAGCGATAAACCTCTTTTAAATTATATTTAAAATATCAACGAAACATTAAATTAGACATAGATATTATGTATGTAGATCAGTATTCAGGAAATCTCGAGGCTACGGAAGCACCATCCGAGGCTTCAGAGCCTGGGTCACTGACATCTAAATCCGAGTTCGAGTCCACTTCGAAGTCCGAATCCGAGTCAAAAGCCGGAGCAGGCTGAGCTGGTGCATGGCAGGAGCGGTGGTTCTGCGGTTGGATATATCGTTGATGAGTCGAACGTATTCCCTGCTTTGAGCTTCAATCACGCTGATGAACTGGGTCACATCCGGATGCGCTACAGAAAAAGCGTTGTTGAGCGTCCTGTTGTAGCGTTCCAGAGGGTTGTTGGTTCGATTTACAATGTCGTCGCCCAATCCATTGGTGTCCCACCATGCCGGAACAAATTTTTTGATCCAGGTTGTCTTGAAGTACTTCCAGAATTTCGTCCAGTTATCCTTTGAGTACTGAATTCCTTGGTATCCACAGTCACGCTTGATCATGCGTCGAACATCTGGAATTCCACGAAACACGATGTCAAGACGCCGGATCACAGTAAGACAGTCAATACAGCCGTCAATCATAGCCAGATTCACCTCGGCCTCGGTTATCTTCAGCTTCAACTTTTTCCGTCGCAGCGCTTGCTTGAAGTGAAACAAACAGCCCA